ATATATATAACGGAAAAAACAAACAAACGCATCAGCAAAGAACTCAGCATCTTTTCTGACTTGGGCAAGCTGTTTTCGATTTTTTGTTTCTTTTTTATGGCTCAACGCCATTCATATCTATTTTAAAACCCATTCCTCTGTGGATTTTACCAAAAGCCGTTGGTCAAAGGCACATGAAATGTAAATTAGCAGTTTTCAAAGACATTCAAGCTTTCGAAGTCACTAAACTTTGGTGGCCATTTTCTCGCTAATTTTACATCTGACACCAGGTAACCCCATCTCCTTCAATCACAAATATATCGACTTATCTTCTAGGTAGATGGGTACTTTATTCACCAAAAGCAAAACGAATGAACAAGATTTTTAATAGGATACCAATAGCTCCATAAATATGCCCAAAAATTGACGAGCGCCTGATTCCACTGCGTTGTGATCTATTTGTTTCTGGCAGTCTTTAAGGGAGGGGGGGCTACAGCTGAAGGCTATCTCGCTTATTAGTGGACCAAATTTCACACATATTATAACAAGCATAGTACGGACTCTTAAAATCCGCAATCAAATTTGAGAAAAAAAAGTTTCGTTTCCATGGATATGGTGGCCATATTGGATTTTGTTGACATGTCTTACGTAATGAATACCGCAAACATTAGATCTAAAAATGAGTCTGTTGTTTGTTTGTTTTTTCCGAAACGAATTAGAAAATGTCTAATGAATTTTTTCCTGAGATAATATTCAAGTTTGGCAAAAAATCCGTAAAAATCCACACTCAACTCCAGACACCACCAACAAAAATCTATGTCATAGATCACAAATTCAACCTACAAGGTTTCAGTATTACATGTTCTCTCCATTTTGTGAAAATTTAACGAAAATTGGATGAAAAATTGTGGAGTTATTTAAAAAAGTATAGATCTAGAGAAAAATCGTATTTTGAGAAAATGGCCGATAAAGAAAAATAAATTATTGTTTTATGAGGAAATGGTGGTGACAAACATGCCCGGTCTGGGAAAAAATGCCGTTTTTTGGAGGTTCTTATGCGATGAAATAGATGTAGGAGAGGCTGAGGAAGCTAAAAATGCCTACAACTCAAATTCCATAAATTTGAGCCGAATCGGGACTTTGGGGGTGTAACCCTCCCCCTCCCCACTCCCCCAAACCAGGAATGACCGAAATTCCCAACACACACAATAATATTACGTTTCTTTCAGGCAAGATTGTTTGTTCACGCTGTTCTGCGACAAGTGGCTGTGTGTCGTAATCAGTGTGTGCAAATTAAATGTATTGTCAGGGAGAACAAGTCGTTGTGTGAGACAGGCGGACGTCACATCTTGGGCTGTGTCGTTATAAGAATAGAAACTAGCGCAAAATAGTGGGGGGGGGGAGTGGTCGTTCGTGCAGGTGATTGATTTAAACAGGCAGTTAGTACAGGTTCGACCGTATCACAGTGCCAAATGTGGGTGGTTGGCGGGTGCTCTATGCTCTACTTGTGTGTGTGTGTGTGTGTGTGTGTGTGTGTGTGTGTGTGTGTGTGTGTGTTTGTTTGTTACTCTCTTGTAACACCTCTGATCTTTGGCACTTATATGACCTTATTGATATTGTGTTGCAAGTGTCGCAAAACTCTTGGAATGCCGAAACTCTTACTAAAACTGAACAATGTCAAAACGAAATGATATCTCTCTATAAACGTTTCACCCCCCAGCATAGCACGAGTATCGCCACCGTGAAGGGTTAGAACGACGTTTGCTCAAAGGTTTACTTATTCTATCGTCTTACGGATCCTTTAGCCTGCTGTGTCTCGGAAGAAGCTCGTTGGTACTCGTACGTAGAGCAGGGCTCGTTCCATTGTCGAGAACATGTAAAGTGATATCCGGTTGGCGTCCATCAGGGGTGTGTTGTTTGAGAAGCGTACACCGGCCAGCCGTGTGCAGGAACCGTGGAGAGCCAAACAAACCGCGTGTAATCTAAGCACGCACACACACACACACACACACACACACACACACACACACACACACACACACACACACACACAC